TCTCTTGCAGGGGCCCATAGGAACCCTGGGGTACCCGCCCCAAACTGGACTCTTTTTATGGTGTAAACTTTGTTTGTTGTGGAGCGTGCCGCAACTTAATCTCAGCTGTGACGGGGCGACGGCTGGAAAACAGATTGTTGATGCATTGCGTGGCTGTGCAGCTTCATCAGGGCACCGTCCTACCCCCCCCAAGGGGTCACTTTTCAGAAAAATGGTCCAGACCATTTTTCGGGAACCCCCCCCACCCGCTCCCCCCTTAAGGGGGGGGGGCCATTGCTTTTTTGTTGTTTTTTTTTGTGTTGCTCTCGGCCTGGGCTGTAGGCCGTGGGGTCACGATGCCGAATTTTAATCAACTGTCGGCTGCGGTGGTGGCATGGTGGCAGTATGGTGTACGGCAAACGCAAGAGGGGAACCCACAAGTTTCAAGTGGCCTCGGAAAAATCAACACAGCAGCCCACGATGTGAAATCCAGCAGCGCAGTGCGCGGGACAGGATTGTGCAAGTGGCTTCAGCCAGGAGGCACTCTGCGCAATAGGAAGGGATGATGTGGCGGGAATCAAGACGGCGGCCATTGCTGCAAGCAAAGGTGGCTTGGGGTGGGAAGGGGGCTGCGTGTGCAGCTGCGTTGTGGCAAATGGCTGTGAGGCGTGCAGCTGCACCGAGAGATGGGCAGGCAGGGAGTTTAATACCAGGAAATTGTGGGAAGTTGTAACAGGAGCACCAGAAGAAACTCTAACAGCAGCTCCAGTACTTGAAGTGCCACTAATATGTGTTTGCAAGCTTGCGGCGCTCTAGTATGAAAGGGAAGACGATTAATCCTTGCTCCTGATTAGTAAGGGCTCCCCGCAGCCCGCAACCCCCGAAAATAGTCCCTGCTGTAACTGGAGCCACCATACTGCAACCAGATGGTCCGTACTGCAACTGCAAAGGGAGCCCTATCACAGCAAAACTTGTCCCTGCTGCATCCCGCACACAACCTTTCCTGACAACCCAGCCCATTTACGGTAATGTATTCTGGGGTGGGCTGTGTTCCTGAAGTGCTTTGCAGGAGGGGTGTTTTTGGAGGGTTCTTGCAGGGTGCTTGGAGGGCTGTTGGGGGGCTCTTGGAATGTGGAGGGGTGCTCTTGGGGGGGTGCTCTTGGAGGGAATGGTGCTCTTGAAGGTGTGCTCTTGGAGGGAGTGGTGCTCTTAGAGTCGCTCCTGGAGTTCTGATTCCTTGCCATGCATTGAAACTTGGGAATAGTCATAGCAAAGCATGAGGACTTTGGGCCCTTCTGGTTCCTTGCATCCTGGAATTTCGGAATAGACGGCCAAGTATTATGACTTGGCCCCTTGTGGATCCTTGTAACCTCATCGTCGGGAATAGTCGTAGCTTAGTATTCTGGCTGGGCCTGAAGGTTGGGAATAGTCATGCCTATACCCTGGAGTGATTCGAAGATGTTAATGTTATAGATGGTCTCTTTCAACTTCTTGGTATTCGGACGAACGATGGTCCGTACTACAACTCAGGTTTCCTTGAATTAAATCAATTTCCTTCCCTCAGAATACAAATCGGGTTTCATGGTTTTTCTAAAATCGGCCTTCGTTTGCAGTACGGACCGTCTAGTTGTGGTGTAGGGGTTCTGGTTGTAGTAGGGACTAGTCGCCACACCCCCCTTCCCCTTATGTCAATAGCCTAGGGCCTAGGGCCCATTGTTCTAGGGAAACCCCATTTCAGAAGGAACATATCCATATATATATATATTCGTATATTTGGAACAAATTCAAATGTAATTCTAATCTGATTTAAATAGGTTGGATTACATGTACAATATAGTTGAAGTCCGCCTGGAATATTAGGGAGCATTTCATTGAATTCTAGTAAAATTAAATTATACCCAACTAAACAGTATATTTTCAGAAATGGAAATCTAATCGTCATCCATTGAAATCTGATCAGATACTAACCAAAATCAGCTCAGCCAAACAAAAGCCAGAGTTTCGCCTTTAAATTTTAAAGCCTTCAAACAGCTTTGCTTGTTCTCATTCTCAGAGCAGCCAAGTACCCGAGTCTCCCTAAACCTCAAGCTGTGCGAGGTGAGCTCCTGAATCTAATGAAGATTTAAAGTAAACGCTATTCTACATCATTTGCAAACCAATCAAAACCCCTTTTAAAACCAAGTAAGAACCCATTAGTCTGGATTTGAAAATAATCTTCTTTGAATCTAGGTTTTTTGGCCCAAAAGTGCCTCCGCCTTTAAATTCAGCTTGGGTCCCTCATTTGACCCGAGATTGTTTCTTTCAATCCAGGGAGTGTTAAGAATCAAGTATATCAAGTGCACGGATAAATGATGGTTGTGAGAGTAGTGATGATGATGGCGATGACGGTGATGGTGATGATGACGGTGAGGATGATAATGGCGATGACAAAGAAGGCGATGAATAACAATAAGATGATGATCATGATGATGCTGCTCGTGCTTGGGTTTTCGCTGTTCACAAACATATTCCGGACATCCGTTGGCCTGTAAATAGGGACTAGCATGCATTAGTCTGTCAGTCAGCGGCACTGCCGCACTGCGGCGAGCACACGCTCAGCGATCTACAACCCGCCCTTTGCATCAAATCATTCAGCCTGCCGCACAGCTGGACAGACAGAGTTCCTTGGACTCATGCCAGGTGGAGCAAGGGCAAGAGCTCGCCAAGGCTTCGTGCATTTCGAGATGGGTACTGTGAGTGGCTTAAAGTTCAATAGCACTTCATTGAGCTAGCAGTGCCTTCGTTTTCTGAGGATTTCTGGGATCCTCGTTTGGCAAGCAGTTCAGTGTTGGCTGGACTCCTTGTCGGCTAAATGCGTCTTGTGGGCTGGATTCTGAGCCTCTTCTAGGACAGTGCCTCGACCTATATCGCGGCATGTCTTTCTCAAGCAAGAAGGAGCTTTCTGCAACTCGCTTAGATTTGGAAGGACGACGAACGGAACCATGTGTGGCTACAGCAGCCTGTTTTCCCTCAACCTTTGCGAGCACTGTGAGTATGCGGAAGGTCATGTTGCGAAGGGTTCTGCTCTAATCGCGTCAGGTGTTCCCTGCATCCCACAGCCTTTGCCCTGGAGAATTCAAAGCTGCTTCGAGGCATGAGCCTGATCTTCGACCCGGTCCTTTGGTCCAAACTTGTAGCGTCTAGCCAGAGCCCATCCTGCCCTCTGTGGCCGCTTTCGTGAGGCCATGCCATGTTCCTTTTGGTCAGACATCTGGGTTTTGGGATTCACGTTTTGTTGCTTTGTTGCAGTGGAGCTGACCGACTTTGGCAGCAGCAGTGGTTTTGACAAGCAGCCTGCGTCCTTGGGCCTTTGCACAAAGGTCTAGGTCTTGACACTGTGGGATCTTCTCCCAACAGCTTCCTAATTGCATGTGCCTAGGGAAGTGTTTTGCACAATACCTGGTCGCGCACTTGCTGTTGGTGGATGCGCTTGTCCGTTCGGAGGCTCTAGGGGTCTAAAGGGTCCTGTCATGGCTCGACCAGTAGTCAGACATGTTGCTCAAGCTGAAAAGTCTTTGTTTGCAAGGTCAGGCATATGGGCATCGCGCCGTTATTCTCTTTACTGGAAATACGCAGGGGTCGATTTTAAGTTTTACCTGGAGTCCCGTACCTTCTCCTAGATGGTTTCGGATTGATCCGCGAATATTGCAAAAAAATGCTTCTGTCAGGCAGCCATGGCGCTGCCCCATGGCTGAAGTAGCAGTTCTCATGGCTGAAGTAGCAGTTCTCAATGTGGGGTGCTCGAAGCGGCCCTTATTTGGAGTATCTGACTTAGGTTCCTCAGAGCAAAGCCTGATGGGAGCCACGAACCCGAATGCGGTTGCGCGTCTCAAGAATCTGCATAAGACTTTGAGAATCAGAAGGCGAACGCGCGACACGTCGCTGATGGCGTACGCCGCGGGTAACGGTAACAACAAAGCTTCTCAGACGGTGCACACACGACCTGCATAACCACATTCTCACTGAGCTTTGCTATACCGCAGCAGAAAATCCGGGCCTGCAGATGCCTAGCCACAAAGCTAGTCCTTGCAGAAAGCCAACAGCAGCAAGCAGCACTCGCTACATTTTTCCAGAGAGCGTTCTCATGCATTAATCTTGGCTCAACCGAAGGTGAGACTCGGCCTGTGAGGCCGACAGATTTGCGCGGGAGCGTGCACGAGCAAGAGATTCTAGCTTTGCCGCGGCCCAGATTTATGCTAAGAACTTTCCATGCAATCACGTTTCCATGCATTTCCTGGACAGGTAAGGCTAAGTTTTGACACGACAGGTCCTGTGCTTTCCTTCGAGCATTGACTTCGTGAAACTGATGTGTGAAGCGCACCGGACGTAGTCCTGCGGTTTAAGACGCACCGCGAGTCCAAAAGCGACGACAGTTCTGCGTTTCGCGACGATTTTCGACCACGGACGTTTGCGAACTCACGGCGAACGCTTACGAACGCTCCGCACGAATTTCGCGTCATCTCCCAACCCCCAGGACCCCCACCTCATAACGAGAACCCTTCTGCTGCGCATTCGGATAAAAAGGCAAGGGCAAATAATGTAATCTCTGTCCTCCATTCTCAGTCTCTGGGAAGCAGCTTGCTGTACATCTGCTACTTGTAGCGCAACGTCAAGGAAGCAAAAGCACCTCACAGAGTTCAATCTTCTAAGCCTCCATACCTTTATGCTCGAAGCTACTTATCCCTCTTGTGATGGTTGATTTTTCAGGCCAGAGGCAAAAGGGAACTGCGAGCTGAGAAGCGCCTCGCTACTGCGCTTGCTAGTTTGTACTCCCACAGCGTGCCGGGGCTTTGCCCGAAAGCATGCGTTGATGCATGCCCGTCCCAGGTCGAAGATGGGTGGCAGGAGTGTCTTGTGCTGGGTTTGTGCGGTTTGTGTCCCAAATGGGCAAACCACATTAAATGGATCACGCGAGAGAGCGGCTGAGCAAAATGGAACTCACTCTAATCCCATGCATTCTGCACAGTCAACACCGAATCAAACAAAGGAGTAGCTGTTGTAATGCTGCTGCTCTTTTTCATGTGTTGCATGCTGCTGATGCAGGTCCAATTGTGGGCAGCAAGCATAGCCACACTCTGTGTTCTCCAAGCCTGAAGCTGGGAAGGAAAGATGAGCTCGTTCTGGACCATCTGGACCTCGAGCAGCAGGTGCAAGGGGATGGACTCAGATGCACGATATCCCACGTGCCCGACCCGACATCCACTCATGCCAGCTAACAATGTCGGTCGCTTTGTGGATGATGCCCAAGATACTGCAAGCCCGCCTACCTAAAGGATCAAACAGGATTGAACAGTTCATCTAAGTGTGAAGGACATGAGAGCGTCGCACCACGCACCAGGCTGTGGAGTCTTGGCTAGTCCACCTTCAGCCTGCAGAGCTCCGCCGGCCGATGCTGGGACTGGACTGTGAGATTTGAAGTAGTACTTCCAGTGGACGACAGATACACAGCTGCATCCGACCTCTTGTAGCATCTGTGGCATAAGGGGGGCCGAACCACGTCGAACTGCTACGTGAGACCTTGCCAGGGCTTGTAGCGGTCAGAGTAAAAAGGTGGGCCTGAAATGGGCTCGGGGTTTGCTAGGGTTGCGGTGGGTTTCACCTGCAAGATTGGGTGGGCTGGTTTTCGGTTGGCTTGAAGGCACCTGATAGCAGTCCCGGCGTCATGAATGATAGGGTTGATCTTGTCCGGGGCATGTCTGCGTGGGTGAGCTGTTTGCAGACACACCGAAGCACTTCACGATCATTTTGCACATGTAAAAGGAATGTCTACTTACTTCCAGCGTTTGTTCATGATGTGTTCGCTTGTGTCAAGGTTGGTGATATGGGGTTGGTGAGGGCTCCAGGACGGACGGAATCCGAAAAGCAACCATCACTGGCACCCATGATGCGATTGAGGTTTCGCCCCTTCGTGGTGTTGACCCTGGACACTGTCCAGTTTGCCAGCTGGTGCTTGGCAAGCACAGTGAGTCAACGCCAGAGAATTCAATGCATGGTACATCCCAGGTCCGTCCAGCCAGGTTTTGCGCGCAGGTCTATCCACACAGGTCGCCAGAAATCGGTTTCCCAGTGCGCATTGGCCGCATGGCAGCTACACTGTTGCGTTTGCTGGCAGCGCGGCCCGCACAGAGACGTCCGTGGCAAAGGTCCATCCACACAGGTTATTTGAAATAGCTCAGGTCCAAAGTGCCCCTGAAGACACTCAGCGCAGGACCTGTGCACAGGTCCATGGCAGACAGCACAGATCCGTCCGGACAGGTCCTGCGAACCAGGTCCCTGCTACAAGTCCCTTTGCAGGCATCACAAAATACCGCCTTTATAAGAGTTTCCAAAGGCAGAGGTCCCTTTCCTTAAAGCAGAGGTCTCTTTCTGTGGGTGTTGCGGGGGCTCTCATATAGAGATTTTGTCATGCCACAAACGGACCTACAGCAGGGATGAAACCTTGTTTGTGAGACTGGTGCACAAGCATCTTCAGTGGCGCGTGCCCTGCGGGGGGATGAAGGGGTCTACGGGGAATCTTCTGGGATTCTTCTGGCCAGGACTTGCCCTACCCCTGCAGGGAGTCTTGTGCTGTACGTGTCCGAATGGGGGAAGCGACATGTAGCCCGAAGGGAAAAAACTATTTCGAGGGACCCGCGTTGGACCTGTGCTGCCCGCAAATCCACCCGTGACGGGCGGTCATGCGCAAAGCGTCTTCAGAATCATGACCCCCTGACAGGTAGATGTGTGGATTCGCGGGCATGACAAATTCCCTGTATGATCTGTATGAGAGCTTCCAAGAACAGGCGTCTCTTTCTGGGCGCGATAACAAGGAATGTAGTAACTGGAGCAGTAACATGTAGGGGCCGGTTTTGCAAGGGTGACCAGCATTTTTGAAAATTCCCGGCTTCGTGCCTGTGCGGGTATCATGAAGTCCATTTGCAGGCATGCCAGAGGATTCCCTTCAGGGGTACTACATTTGCAGGCATCCAGGTCCTTCCAAACGAGTCCCTTCAGAAACAGGTGTTTTGATACAGGATTGGCAGGCATGATTAGTCCTTCCAGGCATGGCATTTGGCATTTGCATACAGGTCCATATGAGCGGCGCAGCAGAGGTCCTTGGAAAGGGATGTGCATCAAAAAACCAAATAAGGATCAACAAAAAACCAAATAAGGATCAACCAACAACCAAAACCTGAAAATATAGAGAGAAATCCAAGGAAAAGCGGCCCCCTAGCCGGCACACGGGAGGATCAAAAAAAAACCAAAAACTCCTAGTAGAGCAGCGAGGAAGCAAGGAAGGAAGGAAGGAAGGAAGCAAGCAAGGAAGGAAGGAGAGCAAGTAAGAAAGACAGAAAAGCAGGAAGGACAGGGAAGGCAGGAAGGAAGGAAGGAAGGAAGCAAGGAAGGAAGGAAGGATTGTTCATCGATTTTCATGGATTTTTATGTTTTTCATCAGTTGTCATCACGCTCAGCATCATTTGCATGATATATCATGATTTTTGTAAACATATTTGCAAATTTATCGTCATTTGCCAGGGTTCCTTCTCATTTTCATAATTTGCGTGATTTCGCATGATTTTTCATTGTGCGCAATTTTCTCATCATTTTTCATCACAGCATGTGTCGTAGTTTTCTCGTTTTTTTCAGCAGTTTCCGTGATTTGCGTGAATTTCATCATTCATATCCAA